ACGTTTGCTGTAGTCGCACCACAAGTTTTGAGCACGTCGTTCTTCCTCCCCACCTCCAACTCCCCGACTCGTTTCCCTTGCCGGCGACGACGTCGTCCCTCGACGCTCCTCTCCGTGCGGGGCGGAACCACCAGCGGAGCGGCTTCGTCCGTGTGTAGCCATTCCCTGAAACACACAGAGGAAATGAACCCACATGCACTCAGAACAGTCAGCACGTCCCAACATCAACCACGACCCACAGCACGTATTATGTCATTGGTCACCCGGACTCCAAAAGAACGAAGTTCAGTCATAGTTAGACGACAGTGGTCCACAAGCCTGGACATTTCAGATGAATCCGAGGCATCATGAGCCATCCTCGTCACACTGCCCTTAAGAGAATGAATGGTCAAAAACGAAGACCGTGGGATAGATCGGATTCATCCGAAGTAGGCGCAGTCGAAAAACCGATGTCGCATAGGCACCTGCACCGGGAAAAGCAACACCTCGCAAGAAGGCCCTAGAACGCTGATACGGCAGACGAAGACGAATACGTTGTCATCCGAAGTCGACAAGTGGATTGTAAAGTCCGCCGTTGTAGTTCGGATGAATCCGAGCTACAAAGCGGTGTGGACCTCCCCCTGTCGGCCCGTACGAAACCGAACTCGAGTTTTCTTGTCCTTCTGAGTCGGTTACGGTTGTGACTCGGATGCATCCGAATTCGAACACCGCGGTTTCGGATGAATCTGAGGCATCGTGAGCCATCCTCATCACACTGCCCTTAAGAGAATGAATGGTCGAAAACCAAGACCGTGGGATAGATCGGATTCATCCGAAGCAGGCGCAGTCGAAAAACCGATGTCGCATAGGCACCTGCACCGGGAAAAGCAACACCTCGCAAGAAGGCNGTGGGATAGATCGGATTCATCCGAAGCAGGCGCAGTCGAAAAACCGATGTCGCATAGGCACCTGCACCGGGAAAAGCAACACCTCGCAAGAAGGCGCTAGAATGCTGATACGGCAGACGAAGACGAATACGTTGTCATCCGAAGTCGACAAGTGGATTGTAAAGTCCGCCGTCGTAGTTCGGATGAATCCGAGCTACAAAGCGGTGTGGACCTCCCCCTGTCAGCCCGTACGAAACCGAACTCGAGTTTTCTTGTCCTTCTGAGTCGGTTACGGTTGTGACTCGGATGCATCCGAATTCGAACAGCACGGTCCATAGACAGTCGTCCATAAGAGGTCATCTACAACACGTGTTTTCGTCACCGACCTGCGAGCTCTTGGTTAACCCTATCCTGTTGGAGGTTCGGTTCGGTTGAACCTTAACCCCGCAAATGTGGCTCGGATTAATCCGAGACGGGGACCGGCGGATGGACCCCACGGTCTATTGACGCCCATCCAGCCATCCAAGCTTCCGTTATTCCCCAGCTGTCCTCGGGTCCAACCGAATTTCGCACGGTGTGTCTTCGTTTATGAGTGTTTAAGTCGGGTGTGGCTCGGATTCATCCGATTTCGACAGAGGCTCTCCCGATACGTGCGACCACGACAGGCTGCGCCGACACCGTGTGCTTTCGACGTACAAGTTTATCAGACCATGCGACATCGCCAATACCCTCTGCGCATGTGGTTCGGATTAATCCGACTTCGCCGAGGCGCTTCGCTTTGTTGTAGCCCCACCACACACCGGACCTCCCCGCGATTGCCGTAGTGTGTCACTATAATCTGTGCGTCATCACGGGGGATATCGTCGTCGTCATGAGTTTTGGTTGGTTGTTGCTCGCCCAATCCAAACAACAGACACGTTTGCTGTAGTCGCAGCACAAGTTTCTAGCTCGTCTTTCTTCCACCGAGCGTAACCATCTCGACTCGTTTTAGTTGCATGAATCCGAGGCATCGTTGACCCTCGTCATCAGACTGCCCTTCTTAGAGCAAATGGTCGACGACGAAGATAACGTGGTAGTTCGGACACATCCGAACTGGGCAGAGTCGAAAGACCGACGTTGTGACTCGGATGCATCCAAATTAGGCCGACCACTAGAGGAGGACATCGGCACGGCGTGTTTTCCTCAATGACCTGTGAGCAGAGGGTGGACCCTATCCTGTCGGAGGTGTGGTTCGGATTTATCCGAGACGGAACGGTCATTTGACAGCATGTGACTTCGTCGTTCACGTTTATCGGAACGTTCGGCGTCGTAAATACCGTCTGTGCATGTGACAAATCCGAATATGCCGTCAGTGTGGTTCGGATTAATCCGAACTTCGCCGGGTTGCCTCGGTTAGTGGTCGCCCCATGAGTTTTAGTGGGTTGTGACTTGGATGCAACTGAAATTACCAAGGGTGGCCCAGTTGTTGCGCCACCACAAGATGGTATGGACAGGGTGGGCTGCCGTCCTCCTGGTTGGTCAAACATGTTGCCGTCGACAATACCCTATGAGCATCTGATCACTCTGTGTCCTGTCCTGTGTCCAAGTCAGCGGAAGGGTTCCTCGCGGCGTTCGGCTGACGCGAGGTTTGATAGGGTTTAAAGATTTGAATTCACGTTCGCCTCCTGTGTCTTCGAATCTGTCGTAGCCGTCTTCGAATTACTGATCTGTGATTGCACTCAGGGGGGGACCAACCTGAGATCGGTTGAGCGACTGTTTGCGATACACAAGGATTGGAGAAAGGCAGAAAACCCGCATAGACACGGAAGGGAGACTGAGATCGATAGAGACGTCGACAGGGAGAGGATGCGCAGCGAGAGAGCCTGTCTTTAGCTCTCTGTCTCTCCATGTGCAGATCATGCGGATGGTGTTGTCCATTTCGAAATTCGCAATGTGACCCGTTAATAAAACGGCAGGAAAGAAATTTAAGAAAAAATTGTTCATGTCGGCGAGAGGAAGACTGGCGAAAAATTTGAAAAAATGTGGAGGACACTCATCTCGCCCGAAACTCCTTCATCTCTCCCCGATCAGATGGCACGCTCACACGTCCGCATGTCATGTCCTGAACATGCGTGGCCACGCTGATGGACGCGGGGCTATATTGGAGCCTCGCATCCATTCTGCTGCCGCATAGAGCCCCTTTGTCGCCTTGAGCCCCGCATCCATCAGCGTGGCCACGCTTGTTCAGGACGTCTGATTGTGCCATCTGATCGGTGCGAGTGATCGCCAATGAAACACATGCATTCTTGCTCCGGAAACTCCTTTATCTCGCCCCGATCAGATGGCACACTCACACGTTCGCATGTCATGTCCTGAACATGCGTGGCCAGGCCGATGGGTGCGGGGCTATATTGGAGCCTGGCATCCATTCTGCTGCCGCATAGAGCCTCGCATCCATCAGCGTGCACATGCTTGTTCAAGAACTGACACGTGGACGTTTGACTGTGCCATCTGATCGGGGCGAGTGGTCGCCAATGGAACGAGATCCGCAAACGCACCCTGAGGTAAGTTCGCGAAAGAAACAGGCTAATGCATAAGACGAACGAAATAGAGGCGCTGAAGACAAACTAACGACGGGGACGAAGATGGTAGTTGAACACGACGGCACACACGTCCATGTGTCAAGTCGTGAGCATGCGTGGCGACGGTGATGGGTGTGGGGCTCTATTCGACAACATTCTGTTGCCGCATAGAGCCCCTCATCGATCAGCGAGCCCACGCTTGTTCAGGACCTGCCACGGGGACGTGTGAGTGTGTCATCTGATCGGGGCGAGAAGTCGCAATGGAACTAGATTCGCGAAAGCAGGCCGACGGAAAAAACGAACGACATAGAGGCACTGATAGAAAACTAACGAGGATGGTGGTGGAACACGACGCTGTTGGTTTTGTCTCGTTCGTTTGTCTGCGCTTGTCAGTTACGTTCGCAAACTTTGTGCGAACGATACAGACAAGCGCAGTGAAACGAACGAGATAAAAGAGAGAAAGAGAGACAAAGAGATAGCGAGAGAGAGAGAGCGCGACAGAGAGGCGATCTCCGCCTTCATCACACGGCCCAATCAAACGTCACGATCAAATGACCCCGAACGTCATAGACTCCCTATCACACATCGGACTCACGGAGAGAAATCCCTGTTGGATCACATGACACTGCTCATTCGCGGCGACTGGACCCAATGTAATAGCCACCACGCAAATCCCGACTACACATCGCGTACATGTGTGGGCATTCTGACGGTCTACGCAAACCCAGCATGGCTGGACTTTTCAGGTAGGTGGAGATGGCGAGAGAAAGAGAGACAGAGAGAGAGAGAGCGAGAGAGGGAGAGAGA